ACATCGACGGTTACAGGTTGCAGAAGGTTGGATATCGGCATATTAGTGTATAACATACTAATATCCGATCCTCTCCCCGCTGTTTCTTAAGTGGTTCTTGTTGCAGACCACGTGTAGGAATTTCTGCGATGTTGGAACGCTAGCATGAGAACTCTGAACACTCAGAGCGTGGTTACGTTCGAATTTTGTTGGGCGCCATATCGTCGGAGCGGGATAAGTATTTATAAAATTATACTTAACCGCTGGACGTTTTATAGAGGCATTGTCTTGAAAAAGACAAATGCCTAAGGATTATTTATTGTAGGGAATAAAACAACCATTTCTAAGTAGAAAAAAACTCAGCTTCAGAGTCTTTTTAAACTTTTTGCAGAGTCCTCCAACGAGGAGCCCTGCGGCTACTCCTTGAGAGTAAAACCACGACTGAACTGTAAATCGAAAATGTCCCACATTTAAAGTATATTTAACTTTTATATGAAACTTTTACGATTTTTAACCAATAGAATTTATTAAAACTTCCAGAAGGAGGGACGATGCAAGTCGATGCGCGAGATTGCGGCGCTCGGCGACACCTGTGGGATCCCTGACTTCGTGCACCAGTGCAGTTACTATTGTAATATTGTGTTAAAAAATTTGTATTTAACTATGAAATATTTATGAACAAAATTTTGTAGTACGCCCTGAGTTTTATATAAATATTCTTGTTTTTGTATACGCATTCAAAATCCCCAAGAAAGAATTTTTTTTGATATGTGTTAGATTTTACACTGGAAATGTTCCAAGGTTAAATTTTACGATTCGTAAATCATAGTAACGGAAGTGATCCAAGGTTTTACGGGATTAAGTTAAAGAATTTGTTTCTTTGGCTATATATAAGGCAGTGCGGACAGAAAGGAGGGAAGTGATTTGCGTTCGGTTTTGAGATCAACTGAGGTCAACTTGAGGTTTGGGAACGAAGTCAAGTTGAACGGACGTGTGGGCAGTTTAAGTGAGCAGAACCAGCAATTTTGTGTAATGGTAATAATTATGGAATAAGTGGAAATTTACTCTCTGTAATATGACGGATTAGAAAAGAGAAACCACAATTCTTGTTAAATATTAAAGGGGTTTGTGCAGTGTACCAGAATATGAAAAATACTTTCAGCAGCTTATAGGTTGTGCCCAATGTGCCGTTGATTTGGTTCCAACCTCATTTTTATTTGTGTTTGGTCGTCTTTTCAGTTCAGTTTAAAGCAATCCTTCTGTATAGCAGAGGTTCCAGTAAATTTTTGTTTAATCCTCAGAAGTTTCAGTGCAAAATTTTATGTGAATTAAAGGTAACATGTTGTGTTTAATTTTCAAAGTAAAATAGACATTTTTTGTGAAATAATAATAATTGCTTTAGTTTTAAATTTAAGAATATGTAATAATTAAAATTATATGTATTAGGGCGTGGCAATAGATGTCAAAAGTATTCTCTGTTTTAAAATGTTGTGTTGGCATATGACAGCTGGCATCTAGCCTTATTATTTTTGACATTAATTTTTTTTGGTTTTTTTATTAAGAAAGTTAATTTCTTTATGAATAGTTTCATTAAAAAGAAAATTATTTACATGTAATAATTTTTAATATTGTTCTGAAGCTATTTTCTTGTGGCATTGTAAATTAATTACTATTTATAACTGGGAATAAGCCACAATTAAAGATAAAAAATACGTTTATTGACGTTTCAATTTCCAATTCGGAAATCGTTCTCAAAATACAAACAGTAAATTTAAATAAATACTGTTTGTATTTTGAGAACGATTTCCGAATTGGAAATTGAAACGTCAATAAACGTATTTTTTGTCTTTAATTGTGCTTATTCCCAGTTATAAATAGTAATTAATAATTTTTATTTGCCACAGTTATAGCCCAATAACATTATTTTGTAAGTTATGTAACAATGTCCACTTGTAAACAAAAATAGGACACATGTAAGTTTCTCTTTGTTTATTTCTATATCGACGTTTGTGGCTATTAATATAAATTTTATGTATTTGTAACTAATTGTATTTAATATATTTTACATCATTTTCTATTTTGTAGCTGTCTGTGTTGACAGTAATAAATGTTTGATTTATTTCTTCAACCATTTTGTTTATTTTAGACAAATCTTCTAACCCTTTTTTGTGCTTACTTTTTTAGGAAAGAAGAGGCTTTTTTCTTTCCTCTAGTAAGTTTAGTATCCTTCGAAGCGGCGCCCTTATTTCAAAGTTCTAGAAGCCTAGAAGCCCTTCCTTGTTGTCTTATTTGCCCAGTTGTCCAGGAGATTTATGTAAGGATCCCTTTGTTTTATTTTTGTGTACTTACATCAATCCGACCCCTTGTTATTCAACTTATTCACGACCCAGCTCTCCAATTAACCCCTGCGTGCCGTACGCATCAGTAGCGATTATTTTGCTTGCCCTATCTCAACCCCCTTAGTTTCTGTCCCCAATTTTCTATCCCTCATAATCTTACCCTAAGGTAGGCGAAATATTTTCGTTACACTATACAGTCGGGTTTTCAAACTCTTTTAAGGCTGTATACAATTAAACATTCCTGCAAGCCTAGCGTTTTAAATAGCGTAGATCCCAAATTATCTAAGTAGTGGGTAAGTTATTTTTTTCTACTCATCCAGCTATTTTACTAACCATCGAACAATATGGTCATCTGCGTCTGTGGTACTAACTTTGTCACGCAGGCCGGTATGGACACTCACATATAAAGGCTACGATGTCGAGGACCTAGACAAGATAACTACAACATCTGCGGCATTTATGAGCGCGCATTCAAGTCCTGGACTGGAGTGCATTAACACATGAGCCGCGCTGATCCTGATGCGTACAACGGGGAGCTCGAGCGGAAGTACGAGAATCCCGGTAGGCTGGTAAGATTCACCGACGAGGATCTCATCCGGATGGGGCAAGAGGAATTCCGGTACGACAAAATCCTAAATGATTTCGAAGGGTGAAAAGTGTAGCTTTTGCATGCATTTTTGTATTTTGCGACTTATGAAGTCCGTTGAAGGTGTTCAATAGATAAAAGTTTGGCTCTAACAACGAAAATTCCGATACAGATGATTAATAAATGTGATAAATTTCATCGATCTCATAAGAATCGTAAAAAAAATGGCAAAAATCGCGAATAGTTTATTTATTTAACAGCCTTTAATATCATGTATCTATGTTTATAACAAGATATCTTTTAGTATATCCAAACTTCCAGTGGAAAATTGTGGAAGTGGCCCCAAACTGCAGATTAAAATGGTATTCCTCAGAAAACATTTTGTTCAAAATTGCAGTAGCTAAAAAAGTTAATGCTAGAGTGTTTTACAATATTCCTCCCGTACAATATAAGGGAAATTAATAACAAATTAGTACCAATACACCAAATTGTGTTGTTTATTCATTAGATTCTGCTGTTTATTTACTGGTGTTTTGAAAGTTTTTTAATTTTTTGTACAATAACTTAAAATGAGTATAGTATACCCGGTTCGCTATTCCCAGTCCGAAGTGTCTAGTGATTTTAGTAATTATTTTTTTGGGTAGTTAGTTACTTTTTGACAGACTCGAAGTGGCTGGAAATTACTATACAACCAAGCATACGTGCTTTTAGTCAATATTAATGTAAACAAAAGTAAATAAAATAGAACTTTGCCGACAATCAATATTTATTTATTTACACCGTATAATGTATTGATAGCAAATAATAAAATTATTTATTGCACAAAATAAAAAAAGTGGGATAAATTCTACAAAATTAAAAAGTCAAAGTGAGGTTAAATAAGACACAGCAAGTTTCTTATGTTGTGACTAGGATGGAATCAATGATTAAAGATTAACAGTTCATTGGATAGCATTAGCATAAACTGTTGTTTTATTATCTTACAAAATAAGTGTACTTCCATATGCTAAAAGCAAATATTAGTAATTTGACTAGGCAAATTCGTGGTTCAATAGTAATTTTTGCTCATTAGCATTTGAGAATGTTAAAATCTTCCACATATGGTGAATGAATTCAGTATCCTGACCGCAGTCTGCAGTCATATAAACCCAAACAAACAATAAAAACCTCTATGTAAGTATAAACAAGTTTATATTAAATTAGAAACAACTAATCTAAAAATATTAACTTTTAAAAAACATTTTATCATATTTATTAAGAAAAACTTACCAACGCATTAGCTGATGGAACAAATGGAAAACTTTGACTATCCATATTAATAAAATTTAAAATATAACTAACTAATTAACTGAATAGAACTAACAAAAGAATTAAACAAAGATAATAAAACAATAAAACTATATTAAATTAAATAAACAACGCGAATAATACAAATATTTACTACAATATTTTAAATTGTAACAATTCAAATATTATATTTATACAGGGAAAATTTGATGGGTTTAGTATACACCTCCACTATTTAGAATAATTCTTCTTTTTTTCAAAGAAATAAGTCTGTAATAGTAGTATACTTGAGCTATTAATACTGAGAAGTAGGAATTGTTGTGTTGTAGGTTTCCGACAATGAGTCTGTCAAAATATGCCCTTGCTAAGCGAATAGACAATAAAAACATATTTAGCAATTAGTATATACTAATTTTATTACTTCTTTGTTAGAAACTTTCACAAAGACCACTGAAATATGTATATATGTTATAATGAAAATACAAAAGTTTTCTACTTCATCCTTACATGTTTATTTATTGGTACTTTCAGTCTATCATTATATTAAAATAGTTGCAGTACAGGAACTAACTTATTTTATTACTGGTATTCTGTGTCTCTCTTTTTTCTATAAAGATTAAATTGTGTTCACTAGAAGCCTACACACAAAATCTGTCAACGATTTAATAACATAAGTTCGTCGCAAATTGGGTTTTAATATAGTCAGCACCACAAAGACCAATAAAGAGATAAGTCAGAAACACCGTGAAGCAAACTGTCAATATTGTCAATTTATCTCCTCTACACATTTTTATCGGTTGTCAACTTACCACCGAGTCGATGTAATCATACAGGGTCAATCCATCATCCCATGGCTTTTCAATGTCACAGGATAAATTCGTCGGCCTAATAGAATGACCATTCTCCATTCCGGATAAGCCCTTTGCAAATACGTAAACAGAATCGAACATCAGAGCGGGCTCCGCCTGTAAAAGGAGATAATATTAATTCTCGTCGTTCGGCTACATAAAAAACTAGCAATTTGTTTATTACATTTTGAAAAGATTTTCGATGATGAAGTAGAATTAAATAATATAAAGGGTACCCTAATATTATACAGGGTGGTCCTTAAGTAATTGTACAAAAAGAAACCGTAGATTTTGCACTTTAAAATATTACGATTTAAGTCGACTTGCTTAAGTAAAATGTTGATAGTAAAAAAGATAGAAGGTGTTAAAGTGGAAATTTAAAATTTTATTTTTCGCTATAACTTTTATGTTTGTTATTATCTATTTATAATAATTTAAAACTGGGTACTATTGAATACAAGAAATTATAATTTGATGTACAATTTGATGTAGCTGCTAGAGGGAGCCACATATGCCACATATGTGGCTTAAATTTGCAAATAACTTTTTTGCTTTTTAAGATATCTATATTTTTGATAAAAAATATTAAAGATACATTATTTTAACATAAAAAAGGTATACTTGTTAATAACTTTAAAACTCAAGAGTTTTCGAGATAATCGCATTTAAAAATCAACTGCATAATTCTAATTTACCGCAATTACTCCAGACAACGAAAGAAAAATAGACAAAAACAATAATACTTCTGAATTTTGGTATAAAATACCTTTAATAAAGTTAATAGCTAACGAAATATTAAATAAAATAAATATATCAACTGGATAATTAATAATATGATTTAACAAAATAATAGAATAATTGGATATGACATCAAACATTTTACGTTTTATATTAAATTAAAGTCATAAATATTTAATTTTTAAAATCAAATTAAGAAATAGTTAAACTAATTAAGATTAAACTCTTTGTCAAAGTAAGTGTTCGATATGTCCACCATTTTCCTCAATACATTATCAATCCGTTCCATAAAAGATCGTCTCATATTAAATAACATCATCGGTTTAATAGAAACTGCTGCAGTATTTATTTCTTCCCAAAGTTGATTGCGACTATTTATGGATTCTTGTAGACACGTTGTTTCATTGCGCCCCATACACCAAAACCTAGCGGATTAAATTCTGGGCTACGTGGTGGCCAAGGAAAATCACTACCACGACCAATCCAACGTTCCGGGAAGTTGGTATTCAAGTATGTTCTCACTGCTCTTGTATAATGTGGTGGTGCACCATCTTGCATAAACCACATATTTTGCCTTAAGTTTAAGGGCAATTCTTCCAACAAATCAGTAAACTCATTTTGTAAAAAAATGTAAATAGTTCTCACCATTCAAATTACGAGGTAACTCGATTGGTTCTAAAAAATGATTACCAATGACTCCACACCATACGTTTATTTTAAATTCATGTTGGAAATGCCTTTCTCTCTTAACATGGGGATTTTTAGTATCCCAGAAATGATTGTTCCTTAAATTAAAAACACCATGGCGTGTGAATGTAGCATCGCCCGTAAATAATATTCTATCGACGAAAGAGTTGTCAAGATTTTTCCTGTTTCGGATATCATTTGCAAATCTGCATCTTAAAGGTAAATCTGCTGGTAATAGATTTTGCACAGGTGTAAAATGGTAAGGGTGAAAATGCTCAAGGTGTAGGATTTTTAAAATTGAAGTTTTGCTGATTCCTAACGCTGAATATAAACGACGAGTACTTACTTGAGAATTATCGTTAACGCGAACCATTACTTCATCTTCTTGATCAGGTGTAATGATTTTTGGTCGACCTAAGTTGTCACGTTTAGGACGAAATGAACCACTTTCGCCTAAATTTTGAAATAGATGTTTAAATGTTTGGTGATTGGGTTGCAGCCTGTTTGGGTATCTTCTTAAATATTTCCTTTTCGCTGCTTGCCCGTTAAAGTGTTGCTGACAATAAATAGCAAACATATCTCTCATATCCATATTAGAAAAATTATTATGCCTTGGCATTTTCTGCTTTTCTTTAAGAAACCAAAATAGACTAGATATTGTAAAAATCTTTGAATAAACAAAACAAGACTTCTTTTTAGTTGTCAAAAGCATTCGTGACATCAGCCTACTATATTAAAATTTCCTGTAATGCATTGGGGTTGTCTACTAGCATCAAAATTGCTTTAAAAAAAACGTGGTAGGTATACTAGCTGACACTGTAGTCTAGCACTTAGCTTCATATCATGTTTTCTATATTTTTTAAATAATATTTAAAAAAGTAGATTTATTATTTATTTATTATTTACATTTTAAACAAATTATATTAAATTAAAATAATTAAATAAATTAATTAAGTTTGCTAGTAGCGCTACCTGTTAACATATTAACAAAATACAGACCGTCAAAGTGAGACTTATTATTGAAATATTAATTTGGTATTCGATCATTAATTTGATGGTAAATTTAATTATTATATAAAATAAATAAGACGATTAAAAATACAATTTGATTATACCTAGTTTGAAAGGAATTTATTGACAACTATTTCTAAATAATTCACAGACATTCAGTGCTTTACCGCAAAATTATAACAACTAAGAATTATTATGCAGCTGACTTATAAAATGCGATTATCTCGAAAACAGTTGAATTTTGAAGTTATTAACAAATATACCTTTTTTTTGTAAAAATAATGTATCTTTAATATTTTTTAATAAAAATAAGGCTAACTTATAGAGACAAAAAATTAGGCACAAATTTATGCCACATATGTGGCGCCCTCTATTAGTTACATCAAATTATGCATCAAATTATAATTTCTCCTACTAAAAAACATCTAACTATAAATTTTTGTCCATAAATATTCACAAACGTGAAAGTTATAGTGAAAAATAAAATTTTAAATTTCTACTTTAACACCCTGTATCTTTCTTAATCAACATTTTACTAAAGCAAGTTGACTTAAATCGTAATATTTTGAAGTGTAGAATCTACGGTTTCTTTTTGTACAATTACTTAAGGACCACCCTGTATAATGAGATAATTAAAAAAAGGGTAATTGATGGATTCGACCGTAACTTGAGGGAAATTCATTTTATACAACAATAAAACACTGAAAACTTTGTTTTAAAACTTTTACAAAATTTATTTTAAATCTTATCACTACAGCTGTTTCGGCTGATTGCCTTTCTTAAGTGATCTATTTTTGGCATGTGTTTACACTTTATAGTCTTCAATGAAATAGTTTAAGGAGGGGAGAACTGTTTGTCTCAAGTTGGTCATTCAGAATTATATCTGTGTTTTTTAATTTGTTAATTTTCATACATTCGAACAAGGATAGCTTAAGGCCTTTATTTTGAATGTTAAGAATTTTAAATTCGTCAATAAAAGAATGATTGTAATCTATAAGGTGAAGTGAGTATGTAGAATCTGTTTTTCTATTATTTCAAGCTTTTTTATGTTCTACTATTCGTTTATTAAAGTTTCTACCAGTTTGACCGATGTAATTTTTTAGTCAGTCACCACATTTCAGTTTGTAGCCACTACTGTGTAAGTGTTTTTTTTATTTTGTTAGACAAAAGACTTTAAAAAAAAATGTTCGACATTATTTTAGAATTTAACCCTTAGTTGACGGACGGTACTTAAAAGTACCACTGATTTAAAATTATGTCTTAAATAAGTCTTTATATTTTTCGTGACTTTTTTCTCTAGGTATTTTAAAGTACAGTTTAGAGAATAATATACGTTAATTTTAATCAACCAGCAACACTGTATTAGCGTGAAAACAATGACGAGATTTTAGTGCTTAACACAACTGCTGCGTTTTGATGTAGTATCTGTAACAAACGTGCCATTAAATCAGAAATTATCACCAAATTTCAGTATAACTTATTATCATAAACTAGACTAAACACGTGACTCCAAACGCAAGTATTTGTTCTTCTTTTAGTGCCTATCGTCTGTGGATGTTGGCAATCACGTTGGTTCATACAACTTTGTTGAGAGATGCTCTAAATAGATGTAGGGTAGTCATTCCTGCCCACTGTCTGATGTCCTTCTCCGCCCTTTTACCGATATTTTGCCCTCTATCTTGTCTTTTAAAATAAGTTGAAATAGTTGATACTTCTCATTGTGTATCACATGCCCTAAGTATGTTATTTTTCTGATTTTCACGATACGCATAATTTACAGACCTTTATTCATACGTTGGATCACGGTGTTGTTTGTAACATGATGGATATAGGAAATTTTGAGCATGCAGCAGTAGCACCACATTTCGAAGGCTTTTAAACATGTGGATGTTGCCTCCGTCAAGGTCCAGGCTTCGACTCTATATAAAAGGGCAGAAAATACATAGCATCTCAAGAAAGTATTTACTTTTGACAAATAATTACTGGTTTTTTGAGAGAAGTGATACTTTTCATTACGGACTTTAGGCATTTTGAAAAAAGTTACTTTTTTTTGAACCTATTCTCTATCCTTCCATTGTTGGATATAGGTCTCCCCCAGTTCTCTCCATCTTTCACTATCTTGAGCTGTTCTCTGCCATGTGGGACCTCCTTGTTTCCTGATGTCATCTTTCCATCTCATCTGTGGTCTGCCTCTTGATCTCTTTGCATTGTATGGACGCCACTTTCCGATGGCATTGTTCCATCGTCCGTCTTGGAGACGTTCATTGTGTCCAGCCCATTTCCATTTCAATTTTGCTGCTTGTTCTATCGCGTCTACTGTCTTTGTTCTGGTTCTGATCCACTGGTTAAGTTTTCTATGTTTAAGTGATACACCCAGCATTTGTCTCTCCATCGCTCTTTGTGCCTTCCTTATATTGTTCAAATTGGCCTGTGTAAATGCCCATGTCTGTGCTCCGTAGGTGAACACCGGCATTATACAGGAGTTATATACCTTGCTTCGTAAGTATAGAGGGATTGTTTCATTTTTTAGAACGTAAGAAAGTTTGCCGAACGCTGCCCATCTCATTCTTACTCGTCTCGATATTTCGGCTGTTTGATTTTCTCTGTTAGCTCTGATTGCTTGTCCTAGATAGATATACTCATTTACCTGTTCTATTTTTTCTGTTTGTATTTTTATTGCC